TTTATTATTTAGTGGTTGTCATAATTTTTGGTATAGTAGTTGTGACTCATTCACACTATATACGTTTGGCTTCCGCAACATAATGGTCCCCTACCCTATTATTTTACTCCTTTGGCAGTTAAAATTTGTTCCTACTGGTGTTTTTGGCATTCATCTCTTGGTTAAGGAACAAGTGTTATACAAGTCCCGGCAGAGCTAGCGCTGCTACTTTTTCGGCCGAACATAACAATTTTTGCTTAAATAGTATATTTATGTTAAAAATTTATTAGATATACACAAATATTAAATTTAGAACTTAGTTATTAGTACTAGAAGTCATTCTTAAAATCTAAAACTCATAAATTTGAAATCTATGCTACGCCTTTAATACTAATGAATTTCATCCTATTGCAGCTGCAGTTGGCCAAGGATTTATACTGCAAGACATCTGTATACAAAATACAGCAGGACCAGAGAAACACCAAGCAGTGGCACTTCGGGTCGGAGCTGATATGTCACTCATAAATCGTTGTCGTATTGATGCTTATCAAGATACCCTTTATGCACATTCTCTAAGGCAATTCTATAGAGACTGCTACGTAACAGGTACTTAGGGAGCGCATGTACATAGGTTCAATTTGAACTACAATAAGTTCAACACTGAAAACTTTAAGGATTGTATGATTACGTTTAAATTTTGAATCCGTCTCTGCAGGTACTGTCGACTTCATATTTGGTAATGCAGCAGTTGTATTCCAGAAATGCCAACTTGTACCTAGAAAACCTGGTAAAAACCAGAAAAACATGGTGACTGCACAAGGCCGTACAGATCCAAATCAGGCCACGGGAACTTCAATTCAATTCTGTGACATAATAGCGAGTCCAGACCTTGAACCAGTTAAGAGTGAATACAAAACATATCTTGGTAGGCCATGGAAGGAGTATTCAAGAACTGTAGTGATGGAATCATACCTAGGTGATCTCATAGATCCAGCTGGTTGGTCTGAGTGGAGTGGAGATTTTGCCTTGAAGACATTATACTATGGGGAGTACATGAACAATGGACCTGGTGCAGGTTAGAAAACCCAATATTTTTTACACGAAACATAAATATTTATGCATAAAACAACTAAACTTTAACAAATCAACTGCGAATCAATTATTTCGAACTTACAATGAGTTTAATGTTAAGTAACTTAAATGTTTAATTCATCATATCTAAATTATAGATCCGCCTCTGGTGCAGGTACTGGCAAGAGGGTGAAGTGGCCGGGTTACCATATCATAACTAATCCTGCTGAGGCGATGCCGTTTACGGTGGCTGAGCTGATTCAAGGCGGCTCGTGGTTGAGTTCTACTGGCGTGACTTTTGTTCAAGGATTGGTTGAGTAGGGAGTTATTATTTGGCTTTAGAGTGTCGTATACGTCTTTTTACCTACGTTGAAAACTAGGTATATATATTATCCGAACAAGCTTTGTATCTCTGGAGAACTCAAAATAAGCACTATAATGTCCCATAAGATATGCCGAAATAGTATATGGCTATATATTTGGTAGTGCCAGATACATGCTGCAGCAAGCATAAACCAAACATCTTATGGGGACGATGTTTTATCTCGGGTAGATTTGAAGTTATATGAGTTCAATAAAGCCTTTGCACTTATACCTAAGACATCGTTCACGTATATATCTTTTTTTAGTCATCCGACATTCGGAATCCATTGATTTAAATAACTCGAAGTTGGAGTTAAATAACTCATAAGAGAAAATTTTTATACTATATTCGACTTGCATTGTGTTATAACCTTGTATCATATTCGGTCTGACTTTCAATTCAATATGTGAAGAAGAAAAAGATATAATTTATATACTTGATGAAATTATGGAATAAAGTCATATATCTATTTTTCTATCACAATAATATCAGCTAACGAAAGTCTAGCCTCTTAAAAATAACGAAAGCTGAAAAATGCACTTTCGAATAAATGAATTGGCAAACCATCTCATGTTAAAATCAATGCTTCATTGGCATGCCAACACTGGACACAGACACACAGTGATACACTAATATCCGACCCATATCAGCATCTGATACTCTCTTGCAAGTCTACTTGCTCCGCTGCATCTCTTTCTCCGGCGAATTTGAGTTGTACATTCTCCTATTTCTCTCTCGCTCTTACTCCGTCCTGCTCCCAATTCCTCTTCTTTATCTATCGCGAGATATAAACCCTAAATCCTAATCCATTTTGAATGATTTTTAACTATCTACTACGAATTATGAATTTAGGTTGCAACGCTTGATGTTAATTATCTGTCTTAAAAGATATATTAATTACCAGTATTAATATAAAAATTTGCCTGAATCGAACAGAATGGATATAGAGGATTCATACCGCTAACCGCAGCTAGTTTGGGATTGATCAAAGTCGTTGTGCTATTAATCAGAGTATCACTTATCAATTTATTTTTCGGAATATTTCAGAGACGTCCCTTCAAGTTTCGCCCTGTCACACTGACCTCTCTGGTGATTTACGATATTACGTTTACCTCCCTTATTTTAATTTTCTTGTAATCATTCTTTAAACCTATTTAAAATAAATATAAATAAAATATAATTGGACAGATTTGCCCTTTTTAATATTAATTTCTTTCAATTAATAAACATTATCAACATAACTTACTTAACAATTTCTTTAAAAATAAACCTACGCCAATAAGTTAATTTAAATATAGATACATGTGTAAAGCTTATCACCATTCTTCCTGCACGTGTCTTTCCCGTTAAACAAAGTAAACTAATTATAGATTCGCCTTTGGGGAAGGTACTAGCAAGAGGGTGAAGTGGCCGGGTTATTGTTAAATCCGTGTGTTGGTTGAATTTATGAGATAGGATAAAAAGAGTCGAACTTAGAGTGAGAGTAAATTGGAATAGTTTCTGATTCAATCTTTTTCAAAATGAAGCAGATACAAGCGTGTATAACTGCCATCTAGACAATTAATTGACAGCTGTACAAGTAACTAAACAATAGCTAACCATGGTTACAACTAACTAGTATACTGACTATAGTTAACTTAAGCTATCCTTTACACCCCCTCAAGCTAGGAGGTATGAAGATATTCTTCATTCCTAGCTTGGAAACTAAGTAGTCATGTTGTGCTCTACCAAGACCTTTGGTAAGTAAGTCAGCTTGCTGCTCAGCAGTAGCGACATAAAGTGTGCGAACAAGTCCTTGTTGAACCTTTTCACAAATGAAGTGATAATCAATGTCAATGTGTTTGGTTCGCTCGTGGAACACAGGGTTCGCATCAATCTGAATCGCGGACTTACTGTCACAATGTATAGGTACTGATAAAGTATGTTGCACGCCCAGCTCATGAACAAACCAAGAATCCCCACAACTTCAGCAACAGTAGATGCTAGACTTCTATATTCTGCCTCCGCTGAGTTTCTGGAAACAGTCGATTGTTTCTTGGACTTCCAAGAAATCAAGGAATCTCCAAACTTAACAAGGTAACTTGCGAGTGTTAGGACAAGAAGAGAAGTTAATACTCAATTATAGAATAAAGTATATATTCAACATAAGTCCTCTAGCCTTGTTCATAAATAATATTAATTAATGTAATTAATAATCTTTATTAACAATTATATTTACAGATAAATGTTAGTCCCTTAATTTTATTTTGTTTACATTATTTCTTAATTAGTCCGTTTCAAAATTATTGACACATTCTTATATTGAGCACAGTTGGTTGTTCGCCACTTGAATTTTATTATTGCAAATTAAGAATCGGCTTGGATCTTATACTCAAAATCTTTTGCTCTCACACTTCTTGCTAGCACTCTTAATTTGCTTACTCCTTTTTTACTTGAGCACGCACAACTAGTGTATTACCTCTATTTGTAAGTGGTGTCAGAAGGATCTAAAGTATAATTTTGGAATCATGCCTTCCATTTATTTGTAGAATGCTCTCTCTAGAATTATCTAGTTCTCACTCTAGACTCTCATTCTAGAGTTCTTTTAACTCTCGTTCTGGGATATTAAGTTGGTGATAACTCCTCTTGGCTTCCATTCCTATATAATTGTTGTGCAAAACTGATATTATTATTGTATAAAAATATTAATTAGTAACTTTTTTCAGAGGCTTTTGAGATTTTTAAAATGAGGTGGAAAATAAAAGAGGAAACATGAGAAAAAATAGATTTTATGGTCCTACAAAAATACCAAGTCACCACATGGCCATCATATTGATATTCTTAAGAAATGTACATTTTTAATCGTTCCCAAAAATAATAGTCAAGAATATATATATATAATTATATATAGTTGGAGAATGCAATTAGTTTCGGTCGACCGGTCAAATATGTATTTTGCCCCCTCCAAGGAATTCTTAAGGATTTTCAAACTTATCAAAATGAAATGGGCAGGGAAACTGAAATTATGACTCTTAAAAAGCTTTCGAAACACAATCGAAAAAGTTTAATAATAAATTAATTATTTGCAAGTCATTTCTTTAGTAAAAAAAAAAATTCATAAAGAGAAAGAAGTCAAAAGGATTATGATAGCAATTAAAGCTAAGGAAGAAATTATAGGAGAAAAGAGCGTATAAATTATTAGAAAATCAAATAAATACACAATTATAAAAGTAAGGGGAAAGATCAAAATGTATATATATATATATATATATATATATATATATATATATATATATATATATATATATATATATATACCAGCGATAACCACATACTTGAAATAGTTGATCTATAAATGTCTTAAGGCATATGATTATTGAGATATTGATTTCACAATCCAAGAAAAGGTTTCCACACAAAAACAAATGGAAAATAATTGAGGAGGAAAAGAAGTATCCTAAAATGAAAAATGCAATGAGTTCAAAACTAAAAAAATGAAAGAAATATCTGTTTTATTGTTACTTAAATTTTATTGTATTGATAAAGTAATGTGTCCATCATATCTCCCATATANGTTTATGGTAACTGGGATAAGTCCTTTGCATCTTTACCCAGGTACATAGGTGCATTGCAACACTTTAACTCCGGGACTGTTGTTGAATGGAAGCTTGAGCGGAGTTCGGAAATACCAGAACATATATTCAAATATGTGTTCTGGGCATTTAAACCAGCAATTGATGATTTTCTGCATTGCCGGCCGGTAATATCCATAGACGGCACTCATGTCTATGGAAAGTATGCTATTAAGATGTTGATCGCCGTTGCAGTAAATGTTAATGGAAGTATATTTCCCTTAACTTTTGCTATTTGTGCCAATGAAAGCCAAGAGACGTGGACACTATTTGTGAACACTATTTTTCACTATTTTTGTTCCCGAAGTGTTCGGGAACAAAACCCCTCCAAACATAAGCAACAACATCAATCTCGTGTACCGGTGAATATGAAGCTCCGGTGTATCATCTATGATGTCAGCGTGCATTGCCTCCAAATGCTGTCGGACGGGCGTCAACTGCAGACAACTGGCCCTAATCAATGCAGTCTCATCCGGTGGCTGGAAATCGGTGAGCCGCTGCAGCATCTCCAGGTACTGCAAACCTGTATATACTCTAATGGCATTCGACAAAGAACCATAGTGTCCATCAAGAGGCAGCCCATACAGGACCTCCACGTCCTGAAGCGTGATAGTGGCCTCGCCAATGGACAAATGGAATGTGTGCATCTCCGGTCGCCACCGCTCTATCAGGGCCGTGATCAACGACCAATCCAACTGCAACCGGCCGATCTCCACAATCCTATAAAAATTCGTATGCTGGAGGCGTCTGACTATACGGGGATGGAGAGGGTGGGCCCTAAGAAAGTCCCACATATCGTCTACTCTCCTGGCACGGAACGTCTGGGCCAGTAACTGTCCCTCCCATATGTATGATGACCTATGCTCGCCTTATAGCAACAGTAGCTCTAGCGTGGCAGGTCCGGGATGTAAAGGTGGAACCTCCATGTCGGCTACTGTAAATTGAACAATATTAATTACATTATTTTACTTTAATATGTTAGTTTTATTATTTTAAATGTTAGTTTTATTATTATATATTTTTGTTTATGACTCACTTATTTTTGACTATAATAAAATTATATAATTAATTTTCATAATTATACAAGATTTAATTATTAAATATTCACATATGGGTTACGGGATCGATATTTGAGGCCTAGTAGCACAAAGGTATCCTGAATTCTTGTGTTCATGATGAGAAAATTTTTTCGATTTATCACTCAATAGGTCTGTTATTTTAAATGTTAGTTTATTATTTATATGTTAGTTTAATATTGTATATGTTAGTTTTATTAATTTATATGTTAGTTTTATTATTATATATTTTTGTTTATGACTCACTTATTTTTGACTATAATAAAATTCTATAATTAATTTTCATAATTATACAAGATTTAATTATTAAATATTCACATATGAGTTTCGGGCTCGATATTTGAGGCCCAGTAGTGTGAGCAGCTAATTTTTGCCATAATATAAAATTACTCCTAAAAAATCCAAAAAATAGCTTTACATTATTTTTCTATATTTTTACTTAGTTTACTTTGTACGTATTCATGTTTGATGCATTTTTAAGTTGCATTTTAAATCCTAAATAAAATACAAAAATATTTTTAATTTTTACATTTCTAGATTTTAATTGCAT